AAAAGTTAAAGTATCCTTTAGGAATATTTCTTGAGTAAAAGTCTTAAAGTATTTGATATTTTTTGTACTTAAGCATCAAAAGTAAAGTTCTGACACAAAATCTACTTAAGTATTAAAAGTAAAAGTACTGAGTAAAAGTGARYAGTTARAKTTTCCAAAATGACATTTATTGGGAGGTGACTTCTCCAAAAAAAATTTTTCTAATGGCGTGCAGTTGTGATGGGTTGTGTATAAGCTAATAGGGTGTCAGAGTGGTATATATTTATACTTCTCATCCAACCACAATTAAATTCACTCTATCCAGGAGACACAATTTATCAGGATAGAATTTTTTTAAGCAATAACAACTAAGAATAAAATAGGAGTAATGACTTTCTACTGTTGTGAGTAGAAAGTACAGATAATTGTGTAAAAATGTAATGAGTATAAGTAAAAAGTACGCTGAAAAATAATTACTCAAGTAAAGTACAGATAACCAAATTTCGACTTAAGTACAGTAACAAAGTATTTGTACATAGTTCCCTTACAGCTCCGTTGGTCATAACAGTAATAATTATATGGGATATTGATATTGGCTGAAATTTTCGTATCGGTGCATCCCTAGATTTTACATTACATTGGACCAGTAACTTTGTCCATAATGTGTTGGTAAAGTGAAGCTTTAAGATATCTGATCACTGGAGATCAGCTCCTAGCTCAAATAATTTACTTGTAGAAATAAATGATTTGATAAATAAAGATTTAGTGAACTATGTCATCCACATGACAACCTGCCAAGAGGTCAGATATGAATTCAAATGAATGTCTTTGAATCTTTGTGGTCAATCGTCGCTGAGTACCACTTTGGTTGGTAAAGATGTAATGCTTGAAAGCTGTATGTTTCTGTAAATTCAGGAGATTGGATTTTTTGAAAACTGTTAGGATTGATGGTTTGATGACATTTGGAGATGTTGGGGATTGAACCCAGGACTTCATACATGCGAAGCAAGATGAGCTGCATTCCCACAAAGTTTTGGAAAATCCTGTCATCCACATTGATGTAATCAATTAACGTTCACAGCAAATTTGTGGAGGAACATTGGTTATTTGTTTTCAGTTTCTGCCAAGAATACATCCATGACTTGAAAGCTGCATGTTTCTGTAAACACTATAGATAAGATCTTTTTGAAAACTGTCAGGATTGATGTTAAACTCCTGGAGATGCTGGGGATTGAACCCAGGACCTCATACATGCGAAGCAAGATGAGCTACATCCCCACAAAGTTTTGGAAAATCATGTCATCCACATTGACGTAATCAATTAACGTGCACAGCAAATTTGTGGAGGAACATTGGTAATCTGTTTTCAGTTTCTGCCAAGAATACATCCATGACTTGAAAGCTGCATGTTTCTGTAAACACTATAGATAAGATCTTTTTGAAAACTGTCAGGATTGATGTTAAACTCCTGGAGATGCTGGGGATTGAACCCAGGACCATCATACATCCCCATAAAGATTTAGTGAACTATGTCATCCACATGACAACCTGCCAAGATGTCAGATATGAATTCAAATGAATGTCTTTGAATCTTTGTGGTCAATCGTTGCTGAGTTCCAATTTGGTTTGTAAAGATATAATGCTTGAAAGCTGTATGTTTCTGTAAATTCAGGAGATTGGATTTTTTTGAAAACTGTTAGGATTGATGGTTTGATGACATTTGGAGATGCTGGGGATTGAACCCAGGACCTCATACATGCAAAGCATGCGCTCTACC